AAAGTTAAGTTTCTTTCTGCTAAATGTTCATGCCCAGGCTGAGTTTTGGTTGCGTTCTTATGCTGCCGAATGCAAATATTCCTAGTCACTTGAATCCTGCTAGAGAAAGCAAGTTATATGCTCCTTACATGTGATACATGAGCCACTGGGCTTGAAGGTAGACTGTAATTTATACCTTACAGACTGTACCTTTAATAAGCTTATGGTTAGTGTATATATGGTTAAAGATAAAATCACATTATGACCTGATTATGTAGTAATCCTACATTAATTAACCCACAAAACTTGTCTCATTTGTTGAAACACGTGTCACATTACGCCCTCCCCAATGTTAATTCACATACTCGTATCACCCTTTTGCAAATGTATGAGAATCTCAACTTTGGGGAAAGGAAGGACAGATAAACCCAGGAAAAAGTTAAATAAGTTGATGGAGAAGGCATGACCTGAAAAATCTTCACTTTCAGTCTGTGTTTCAATGAAATTTGATAACTATTGCAGCCCAAATAGGATTTTTTTCTTCCACAGGCACTTTTAGAGATCCACTACCTTGAATTTTTTTCTTGTACATATATTTGGTGGGTGGGATGTTTCGGGGTCTTGGTCAGAGACAGTCACAAAAGTGTAGGAGCTTTTCACTTATATCACTATTAATTTCAGACTTGACCAAAAACCGGACCCATACATAAGAAGACTTTGGGACCCATGGTAGAGATTCAGCTTTATCCCCAGCATGAGGACGATGTAGAGGACATTATTAATTTTTACAAGCAATGTCTTTCTTAATTATTCCTGTTTAGTCTTTCCTGAGAAATGTTTTATGCTCATTGTACTTGTCTACGCATATAGTTTACACAAATTAGCCTGGTTTAAATTGCACAAATGCAATATTATTGAATGAACACTGTTATTTGTATTGATACAACTTACTGTAATAGCAAGATAACTGGCATACCATGCATGTACCATTTCAATTTTCGTACAGTTTCTGTAGCAGAGTGAAGCAGCACCTCGGCAATCTTGAAAGTGGATCACGTATCGGACAGGTTTCAGTGCCACTCTTTTGTTGAATGTGTACAGGTGTGCCCACCATACCAGTTAGCTTGTGGCTATGAAAAAATATGTGTAAACATAGCCTTAGTAACAGTGTAGGAATTAACATGTCTGTTTATATAATATGGGCCAGCTTGAGAGGTAAAAAATTCAGTTTTTCTGTAATCCTAATATCGTCAAATTTTTTGCCTGACTCTTACTTGCTTTGATGGTTGAAGTGCTGAATCTATGGCTACAGCATGGTGTATATGGGTAATATTATTACTGAGAGTCCATTAATTTGTTTTGTTGGTGATAAACATTTTTTGTTTTAGAATAATGATTTCTTTTCTTAAGGGAATGTCCTAAATTACAATTTTGTTAGCCTCTTGTACAAATATAACAATGTTATTTGGGATATATCGTTTATGAATTGTGGAATTTATTGATATGAGGTTAGAGTACATCCAGCTATTAATAATACTGGTTTAATTTTGCCAAAGAAATTCCGGACAAAAAATTATCAGGTTCTGTTTCTTTCATTTTATTTATCACTTGGTTTAACCTCTGAGCTTATAGGATTACTAATCAAAGTATTATTTATCCAACTTCTGGTAGCTAAAAACACCAGGGATATTTGAGCTCTCTTCCCTTCTAGGAAATACAAAGCATTCTGTATCCCTGTATGTGCGAATATTCGTAATCATTATAGCTCATGATAAGATATGTTGTAGAGGAGATTTTACACTGTTTGAAGAACTCATTTTCCTTGGATCGTATTAAATTTCGTTTGTCGTATTTTTTTTTTAATTTGTTGCATAAAATCCCCAGTGTTTTTTTGAAGAAAGGGCAAACGTGGGTTTGTTTACATCGTGAACGTGACCGAAGTATCGTTCTATTTTGCTGAGTGATGATGACGTCAGTGTTTCATGTATAGAGCCACGGATTGGCCAATCAGGGCGTGTTTAAGAATGCGACACTGTTTTATCCGTGACGTAAGCACAAACCTGATAGGCTCAGGAAACACCAGTTTTGCCACATCTTTCCACCATTTTCCGGCCCTTCTTGCAAAACAACCGTACACAGGAAAAGGAAAAATATATCCTTCAAAGGCAGCAGCTGTAAAGGTGTATCCAAAAAGCCATCCCTTTGAGCAAAGGTCCTGCCATTTTTCGAGTGTTTTGCTCTGTAACCGTGACAATCGCCTCGAGTTGATTCAGTGGGTGGAGCCCGATGGCCAAGGTTAGCGTTGTGATTGGTTGGTAGAGTCTTATTTGACAAACCAGGTCTCGTGATCCCATATACCCAGTGGTCGGAATGAAAACAATAACAAAGACGAAAATTTTGCCTCGAACCACTGGCAAAATATCTGTGTTTTATCCTTGAAAGCGAACGTTTACATTTTATTCAATCATAGAAGTACATGCTGCAAGGAGTAGAATTTACTCCAGTAAGTATTTGAATCGGAAAAATTGCCCCTTATTCTCTAAGAACAAATATCCACGCTCTTTCTAAGAATTTTCCCTCGTGAACGACGGGTTGTATTTGCTCAGTTATATAATAATTGCTTCCTCGTATGTTTATTTCTTAGCTTCCAAAGGACGTGGAGAGTTCATTTGAGGACAGCTTTGGGAGTGTGTTTTCTCCGTTCGAAGACGATGATTTTGAGGCTGGAAGAGCGATATTTATGGGGGGAACGAACGGAGAAAAATTTGGTTGGGACAATTTCCAAGCGTTGCCCAGTTCACCTCTTGGCGGGTATGGGGGAGACCTTGATGTGGAGTTGGAATTTTTCAGAAGTGATAGAATAAATGAGGAATGCAAAGTAGCTGGGCCAACTTTAGCCGAGCTAAATGATGATCATCGCTCACTGTCGCCGCTTATAAATCCAGAAATGGAGCGACTTCATCGCATAGCCACTCGAACGGAAGGCGAATTATCCTCTTCATGGGATTGCTCAACATCTCGCAAGCCGCAGGGCTATATCGCTTTGGAGCTTACTGCAGAAAATGTTGAAAGGCCGAGAAGTATTGAAATAAAAAAAGAACCTGTCGCTTCTATTGCTTCTAACTGCGAGTATAACGACAGATTTGAAAACCCTACCAACGTTAGACAAACGGAGAGGAAACCGCCAAGTAAACCAACCTGGACTCTGACCCAAGAAAATGCTTGGCGGAGCACCGTGGAACAATTGACGCCCGACCAAGGAAAACCGACGAGAATGATTGTTTTGCCGGACAGAAAATTAGGTTTGGGTAGCGATGAAGTTAACCAAATGCCAAAGTTAGTTTCTGCGGAAATGAAAGGTCGATTGTATGAGGAGCGCGAGGAAGGACAATCGCGGAAGAAAGTTGAGAGAGACAGTGAAGCCGAAACGATGGAAGCTGAGCCGAACAGCCCGCCGATGGAAGAGGAATCGGCCGATGAGGAGATGGATAGCGACGACGATTTTGATGTGGGAAACCACTCGCAAGGAGCTGGCTTAGCCAGGAATAGGAAGGGTCGGAGGGGGGAACACGATGACCTTTCCCCAAATCCAAGAAAACTGTTGGAAATTAGCCGAGAATTGGATCGCCTGAACAAAGTTATTGGTGATCTAAAACCGATCCACCAGTTACCACAAAACGCCAGGAACAAGTCGAGGAAAGAGAAAAACAAGCTTGCTTCAAGGTATTAAATTATTAGATCAATTGTACTGACAGTCCAAACATATCAGGTGATATTTGTGAGAAAATTCTAGAACAGTTTACTGTACATGTGCAACTGGAAATGGCAAATTTACTGCTCTTGTCAATTTCGTTCTTGCACATGTGAGCTTAAATGACAGTCTTCCTTCGCGCCTGTGTTAAAATAAAAGGTTCATTTGTTATTGTGTAATTTTTCGTGTCAACAGCCGTTGTTTTAGATAAGGCAAACTCGCCATTTTGAAAACAGTCTGTAGTCTTTAATCCAAACTTATTGGTCCTGGATTTCTGTGATGAGTGCAGGCACATGTTGGTCAGCTGAGGTTTATTTTGTTTGTTTTCATTAGGGAGTCAAAAATAAATTTTTGTACTTGTGCATACACTCACGATTGCTGAACTTTGGCATGTTATTGATTCATGACAAAATGTTGAAAAAATTCCCTGCTGTTACAGGAAAAAAAAAACAATAACGTTTCAGTGGGATATTAAAATTAATTGTAGGGATATAGGACCACGCTTGAGATGGAAAATTTACAGGGAATGGAATTTCAATAGTGGGAAAAAATCTTGTGCCATCCAGTACTAAGCTGCCTTAAATTCAGGTTGTTTAATGCTTCACTGGCTATTTATAGTATTTGAAAGTTCTTAGATGACAGTTTGGACATTCTCCTGACCCCTCAATTATTAGTCACGAATATCCGAGATCAGAAATTAATAATTTGTGACTTTTAAACAGAACATTATGAGTTTACATGCATGTATAAAAAACACAGATGTAGCCAATTGTTGTTTTATGTGAATAAGGGTATTAGTGTGTTAAATTTCTAGTTTTTAACTGCAGGGTGGCTTCTTAAGAGAACTTCCAAAATGGTAAAGCTGATCAATTAGGATGAAGCATGAAATGAGCAAAAACAAAAGCCAAATTCAATAATTAGCCATATGATACATGTACATGTATATTTTTAACCTTATAACATCCTCATCTGTGTCAAATTTCTTTAAAACATTTCCTGTTCCTTGGAAGTGTCAGCATGTGAAGGAGTCTTGTTTTTCTGTGGATATTCCTAAAAAAGCAGTTGGCGCATGCATCAAGTTGTTTTTTTTGTGTACAGTGTCTTGTTGCTATCTTTTTTGGTCATCTTTGCCTACATGTAGCTGTGAAATGTTGTGCCATTTTCATGAGGCTTGCACTGCTGTTCATAACAGCTAAGCTGGACCACACTGCTGTCTTGTGGAACATCATGCACAGATAATTTTGCTGTATTATTCCACCAATGACATCAGTGGTGGAACAAACATCAAATATCTTCCAAATTTGGCCAGTGCTTCAAACCTGGTTGTGTAAATGAATTGATTGTAATGAGCATTGACATGTATAGTTAGAAACATTTTGCATTATTATATTTTAATACCATTGTAAGTGTATAATAAGAATAAACAGACCTTATTCACGGTACCCGTCATCTTTGCACATACTTTAGAATTGATGGAGTAAAAGCAGTGTCATATGGTACAGTGTAATTCAGGGGGTAAACAAGTGATAAAATTTGCCATTATAAGCAATCGCAGTCCAGTTTGTTTATTCTGTCAAAACGAGACGACAGATTACATGTACATGCTGTAGTGGTCTTGCTAAAGTTTCAACAAGTGAGATTTAAGTCATTATTGTTTGTTGTCAGGACATCTACTAGTGGTATTGCATCCAAAGAAGTAACAACGATCACTTCTACCCTTAATTTGCCATTATCATCTTAACTATAAGATGAAAAGTTCCTCATTTGCTGTTGTTTAGAATAAACAAACTTGGCTGTGATTTGTTGTTTGCCCCTGAGAAATTACAGTATATGGCATTGCTTTAGTCCCATCAGTTAAGTGTGTGTAAAGATGGTGGGTTTTGTGAATAAGGCCTATTATTCCATTACAAGATTTGATTTTGCATGTGGTTTAGTCATGTGATGGTACTATATTAACTTCTTGGTCTTATACGTTTACAGGGCTTGTAGATTGAAGAAGAAAGCTCAGCATGAGGCTAACAAGGTGAAATTACAGGGATTAGAGATGGAACAACGTAAGTTTTTTTTTCTATGTGGATTCTTCTCCCATGGGGTTGCTCTGGATTTCAAGTGAAAAGGATGGTCAAAGAATTATTTTGGGGGGGGTGGAATTTTCCGATTCGGGATTTTTTGGGTAGGAAAATTTGGCAAGGCGTTGGTTTTTTCAATCGGTGGCTAGATTTAAGTAGGTTTTTTTCCGGCAGATTCATGGTAGTGCTCGCATGTTTAGAGTTGTTATTCTGCATTATTACTGTTATTGTTGAAACTGAAGATGTTCTTGGGTGTCTCAAGTGTTGATGCGGAAAAGATAACTTTAGATGTGTGACGAATAAACAAACGCAAATAATTTCTGATTTATTTAATGCTTTCCAGAAATTTTTTAAGGATGAGAAATTCTGCATGGTTTTTTTGGTGGGGTTAATTTTCAGATTGTTTGGGTTTTGTTGGAAGCCCCAGGGATTTTTTTGGTAGTTGATTTTTGCCCCCATTTGATCATCCTCATCAGTTGGAATCTTTCTTCTTTTATTGTCATTGTAACCATCATGCTGTACAGTACTGTTCAACTGCATGTGGATTTCCATATAAGGGTCCTTTGGTAGTTAACATTAATATCATTAGCGAGATGAAATTTGATACTTGCTGGTTTGCAGCGCAAGTCATGAGTCCTGCCAAAATCTTTATTATTTTGACCACCAAGATGGTCACCTTGGCATGTGGTTGCAACCTCAGAAATACCAAAGTAGCAGGAATTTGTTGTCTCTTACTGAGTTACAGGAGCCCACTGTTCATTGTAGACATTCTTCAACATTAGACGGCTGTCCAGCTTTGTAAAAAAGAGATTAGGGATATTTGGAGCAAATGTCTCAGTCTTGGCATTATTGCTTTGTGACATACCGTAAAATTCCAAGAATAAGCCCCAGGGCTTATATTTTTCAAAGGCCCTTTTGGAGGGGTCTATATTTGGAGGGGCTTACGTACGGAGAGAAATTTGCGTTTCAAAACCGATTGGGTTAGCTTGTAGTGGGAAAGAAATTTTTTATTTACCATTTTTGGGTTGTTTTACTTTGTATCTGAAAGCAAATTCCAAGTACTTGCCCCCTGGGGGCTTATATTTGGAGGGGCGATTTAACTGAGCGTTTTTTCTGTTACGATTTTGGGGAGCTTATATTTGGAGGGTTTTATACATGGCGGGGCTTATTTTCGGAATTTTATGCTATCTTTACATTTTACATGCAGGCTCAAAATACAACATTGTTTTGGTCATCTTCAAACTCTATCTCAGGCATTTAAATGTACAACTCTGTCGTGAAATAAATGTAGCACTGTTACCTAACAAGAGTATTTTGCCATCAAGATGATGATGTCATTATTGATGTGTTATGCAAGAAGTTTCAAGTGCCTCATGAAGTGGCAATAAAAAAATGTACTTGTAGGATGGTGTGGCTAAAAATGCAATTATTCACTCTCTATTTAAATAATGAGATCTGTGATAATGGTGTGTGCTCCATGCTAACGGAAATAAATATTATTGGAACAATGTACTGACTGCTCACTAAAACGTTCCAGTTTTTGAAAGTGAATTGCGGTGGCTATTCAAGATCATATTTCAATCTCTTTAAGTTACGCAGTCATACAAGATGCATGTAAATACAAACCTTCAATACAAATGTACACTGTAAAAACAGTTTTGATAGCTGAAAAGATAGACTTGATACAAAAATACTGAGTCATGTTAACCTACAACTTCACAGAAATTTCAGTTCCCTGATCAGGCGACTAGGATCCTAAACTTAGTTGCTTGGATGAAATTTGAAGTTGCCTCGGGTAATCGGGCAGCTGTTAATGTTGAGCCCTGCAAAATGTATGTGTCTGCGGAAACTTTCCCACTTGAGGCAAGTTAGAGAGGAGTGGTTAAAGACAAGTACTTTCCCATGGGTAAAAGCCATTTACCCAAAGGTAAAACATTGCATCCATTGAAGCTTTTAACCTTGTAAGTCCCAATAGTGATCAACATCAATTCTCTCCTATTGATATCCATACACTGTCAAGAGATACAGTTATAAGAATTAATGATCACCCAAGAGAAAATTCTTTGATCTTTTATTAATTTCTCTGAACTTATTCTTTAAGGAAATGTATGGAGATCAGTTTGGAGAATTTGTATCTGAATATTGGGACTTAAAGAATGAAAAGAGATAATCAGGGTTGGTAGACTATGGGTATTAACAAAAGGGAGTATTGTCCTTCACCAATTTTTTTTTATCTTGTCATTCCCTCAGAACGCTTGACAGAAGTCATTGAAAAGGTGAGAAAGGAGATCATAATAAAAGGCAGTTCTCCAGTAGCAGCACCAAAGCCAAGCTTAAGTGGTCAAGTTGAGTCCCTCATCAAGGCTACATTTGGTAGGTTTGGTATCATTCTTGAGTGCTTTTGTACAGGTAGCTGTTGCACTTACTCAAGATTGCCCCCTAAATAATTGGTTCAAATAGACTCTTGGACCCTAGGGGTGCTCAAGATTAATGAATTGAAGCAATAAAAACGAGTTGAGGACACTAAAAGTATAACACTTTTTTCTTGATCAGTGAATGTGTAGTGTACATGTACTTGAAGGTGACGTCTGCTTCTCCATACAAATTACTTGTGCCTTGAATATTCCTTTGTAGCAAAAAGCACCTTTTGATTTACATGTAGGTTAAGAGTCACCAAGGGCCTTATTCCGTAAAACAATTCATTGCAAGAAAGTCAAGCCTTTGACAGTTTTAAGTTTCCTCTTTATACAGTGTAGATGATGATGTAATTCATGTCTTAGGCTACAGTGTCAGACCCCTCAAAAATCATCATGGGGAGTAAAAAAGCATGGAAAAGGGCTGTCTAAAGTGCTAGTGAAGCAGCTCTTCAGGCCTTTGCATATTGTAATTATGTGTTGCATAATACATTTGGTAAATTTAGTGAAAAGGGGGTTGATGGGCCTGCATTACAGCTCTCATCTCATAAACTTCAACAGCAACTTGCCTGAAGGGCAAGCAATTTTGTAATTTTTTTTTTGTTTCCATCTTGCCCAGTTTCTTGTGTGCAGATGTGTGTTAGTTAGAGTACACACATCCTTCAAATGCGTTCACACGCCTCAAAGCAGTTTTTTTTTGTATGATGAATGTGGTAGTTTTAACTTTAAAGCTGTATAACACATGCTTTTACGAAGCTGTCGGCATATGCATGTACATGCGTTACTGTAGGAGCCTACCATAAGTAATTCCTGTTGTTATTTTTCTTAGGAAACCAACTTGTTGCTGGGCACACGTCTGACTTTGTACATTCTGTTTTGAAAGCTACTGCCAGAGAGAATCCATCACTTGGAGAGCTTGATGAGCTAAGTTTGTGCTTCTAAGCAAGTGTACAGTAATAACTATGCTTGAACTGATTGTCAGTTTGCTTGTAACAAAGTAATGATACAGACAAACTGAGGAATCCTTTGGCTCGATGCATAAAATGTTAATAATGTTTTCTTTCTTGATGATTTTTTTTTGTAGTTATGGCATGCAAGCATGTTAAAGTGATCTCTAACAGAATAATGAATAAGTTAATTTTTACTCGTTCAAACAATATTGATGATACAGGTGAAAATTAAATTCAGGTTGACTCTAAATTTCCTTTGTCTCCTAGCCCTAATCATTCATGAATTAGGGCTGCTTAGCAGATGAAGGGAATTGAGAAATATTGTCGAGGAAATCAATTCTGTTTGAAAGGGTTTTTATCCTGGACTAAATAAATAGAAAAATAGAATAAAGAGCTTGGCCAATTTCCAGAGGCATTTTGTAGAATAAGGAAGAAAGTAATGGAGTTTGTGTAGTCTGAGAGGGTGTGGTATGTTCATGGCAAAAGTTTAATTGTTGTTTGGGTTTGGTCATGTACACATTGAGTGGTTACTTTAACCCTTTAATCCCTTTGATCAAAATTTGATTCTTATTTGTTGTCCCTACTCATTTTCTAGCAAAGTACTGGGGAGAAGTTGATAAAAATTACTATCAAGCAAATTCATTTTGTGTGATCATGTCTGTAATTCTCATGATCACTCTGTTGTACAAAGCATTGATATTACAAGGAGAAATTTGATGCTGATCACTCTTAGGGCTTAAAGGGTTAATGTGTGTACATGTAATGTCATGCACATGCAAAAAAATGTGGTGAAAAAAGAGTAGTTTTAGGTCTTTGTACTTATTGCATCTGCAATATTGATAATAAAAATGACAATGATTGCTTTATTGAGTGCAAAGATAGTTACAGTAACAATGAAGTTGACCACATCAGGAGCTCCATTTGAGTTTTTGAGTAACTGGAATAATTGGAATGAGACAAAGCGAAATTGCCTTAAAGAGTATGTTGAAAGATCATTGGAGTTAAAGAAGGTTTTAGCAACCATGTGAGTAAAAATAATTGTGTACGTAGTCAGAGAGTCTATACATACATGTAGAATGTGGAGAAATTTTAATTGGAAAGTTGATTTCATCATAAATTTAATGTAGAAATTTTGCACCTACAAGTTATATTAATCTGGTAAAACATACATGTAAGTGGGATATGCTATTTTAGTTTTTTTTTGTTGATTTTAGTCAGCCACTTAAGTGGTCAACTTCAAGTTGTACAATACCTTCACAGAGGCACAGACTATTGGACCAGTTCTGATGCTATAGCACTGACAAGCATTATTAATAAGATACATACAGATGGTGTAGGTTTGGTGTTACTAACCATAATCTGAAGGCAATATTGCTTTTAAATTGGTTAGGTACAACTTGACCCTTTTTGGGGGGTTTTGGACAAATATTCATTAATTATTTTTATGTCAGTTTCAGATCAGAACCATTGTAGTGCTATAGGAGTATTATTTGGTAGGAATAGTATAGTTTAGATCATTAATTTTTATAAATTTTTTGTTTCAACCATTTTGTTTGGTAATTTAAAGGGCTTGAGGATTTGCAATATAACAAGAGAAATCAGTAGTCATTTAAGCTTGAACTGCTCCTCTTTCCTCTAGTCAGTTAATATTGCATTTACAGTATATCCTGCTATAGTAGATTACTCATACTTTAAATGTTCTTGCTAACTTCCACCAAAATAATGAGTTACTGTTTCTTTCTTTGACTCTGTTTTTTTTAAAGTTTTGTTACTTCAAACAGTTCTGTTTCACCAGAACATGTTCACTGTTTTATTGTGACATTAGCATTGTTTGCTTCTTATAGGAGCTGTAGTGATCAATAATTTCTTTCAAATGAAAAGTTGGGTTGATAATCAAGGAAATGTAGGAAATGTATTGCATGAGCTTGTACAATGTAGCTTCTTACAGTGAATGGAATGCCTTTTTTATGACTGTAGGGTTTCATTCTCATACCTAGAAGTGACTTCAAGTTTGATAAGAATACGCATTTTAGAAGGAGAACTACTTTGTTGTCAAAGAAAAGTATTTTCACGAAACTACATCTATTTCCACCTTTCAGTAAGTTGTTGAAACTGGATGCAACACGTTCATCGATACCAATATCAGTTTTGTGTTGCTCTAATTTCTGAGTTATGTTATTGCAGATGACTGTCACACAATGCACAGCTGTAGTCACACAGGTAGGTTAGTTGCAAGAAACTGTATGAATGCAGCTGTGCATTGTGTGACAAGCTGTTCTGGTGTTTATTATTTTGCCTGTATTAACATTTGGTTTTGTTTGTTGAAATGGCAGATAGGTTTATTCATACCTTACATCAACATGTATAAGCATTGCTCTGTAAACAAGGCTAGTTGGGTAGTTTCAAACCGAGACTGACTGGGTAAGAACCCATATATTATGGGATTTAAAAAGAGATAATTATGTGGCTACGTGTTATGTAAATTTTCACATTTTGGAGTGGCTGTAATCTACAGTACTTCAGTGTTTTTTTTATTAACGCCAAACTTGGGCAGTTTGTAAAGCTTGATGTGCTCTGTTATTTTTTGCTATGTATGGATCTTGTGTTTATAATCCCATAATTTACAGCTCATACCCAGTCCCCCTCGGTTTGAAGACACGTAATAGAAGGGGAAAACTAAAGGGAAGGGGGAGGGGTTGGGAGAGTCTTAATTATTTTACTAATGTGGCCAGTTTTGGCTTTGACATTTAAGATTGTTTTCCAAGGTTCTGCAGGTCAGACCTTGTGTCATAGTTTCCTGGGAATGCATTGTTTGTCTAGACGGAAAAATAAAAAGCTGGGCTTGTGCCAGCATTGTTGAAGAGTTTCTTAGAAAAGTATTTTGAGGTATTTTCAAGGGTACAGGCTGTGTTAAGCTGCTTGAGGCTAACAATGGCCAACTGGCCAAAGTGCAGTTGATTATTCAATTTCTGGTAATGTAAACTAAAAAGAACCAGACGGCAAGCACCCAACTTAGAAGTCTAACAATTTAGGTGAACAAAGTGAGAAAACAAAATTGACAACAGACTGTAACAGAATCTTACAAATAATTGAACTTTTCTCACTGAGTTTATCGCACTTGGCTAATGAGATCTGCAGTTTTCTTTGTTAGTAAACGCTTGGCTAGTTGGCTGAAAATTTGGTGTTAGACCTCTCTGTATACATGAATGCATTCCCCGGATGTTATGGTTATCATTGTGTAATGTTAAACACCATCTTTAAGTCTCAAATTTTAGATTATCAAGGTGTCCTATTTGTAACATAAGAGGAGCAGTTATCTTTATAACAGTGTAAAATAGATTTTCTGTATATATACTATTTTATTATTATTTGTACATTGTATAAATACACGCCGAGGGTTTATGGTAAATTTTTTAAACCTGTAAGATAGAACGGGGAACCTCCCACGTGGTTTCATCAAATTGTATTTTCTTATCGTTGCGTTTTTGAAGTTGGGAATTAATTTAATTAGTCAAGGATGGTCTTTGGAGTTTCTGTATTATAAGTCGTTTATTAAATTATTTGATTTCTCAACTAAATAAAAGCGGATTTAGTGTGTACAGAGTATGTGGTTTGACATGTGGTCTCCCTCATTTACAGGGGGTTCTCACATCCGATGAGATTATTGCCCCCGCAGGGATTTGGCCCTAGTGGCTCGTGCGTATATATAGAAAAGTACTTAAAGTTGAAATATACCGTCAGTATACCAGAAAGAATCTCGATATGTTTCATAGATCAGGGACGTACGGAATCGTTGGGTAATAGTGACGTTTCTATTGTTAAAGCCCGCAAGTAAGAGATGGTTAGGATAACGTAAAACAGAAAATGCCCGAAGGGACCGTTAAGGTTGATTTTGTGACGCTTATTCTACAGTCATACTTCGATATTCTTTTGCGTTACGTGTTATCAGTGTCATTCTGTGGAGCAGCTGTTTTGAAAGTTATGGACCAAAAGACACCCGTTAAGCGCAGATGACGTTATAAGGTGCGTATATCCATGGTATATATAAACAACAACAACTTTATTGACTTTATCTTCGACATGAAGATTTCAGTACCAAAACTTTCAATATAACAACAAATGAAACAAAGTAAAATAAAAGTTAAGTAAGAGAGAAAGGAACATCAACTGTATATTGAACGTTAAGATCGAAAATTACGTGGCTAAGTACGGCTTCTACACTACTAAAGAAAATTAAATTAGATTTCGGATTTATAACGATTTAGAATATTTTCAATATAAGAAGCACTAAGCTTTATGATGTTTTCATCGCACATAGACATGATATATAAAAATAGTGCCTTGCAAGACATAGCCGTAAAATTACTGTTTATCGAGTATAGGCTCTCCAAGAAGATACCCCTTATATGAGAAAGTGATGATTCGAGTGAATACATTTCAACAAATAGTGGAATTCATCCTAATTTTGGATCTATTACAGGGGGCAAAGTGTCTCAACTCTGGGTATCTTATTGTAGCGCCCAGATTCAATGGGTAGCATGTGGCAAGAAATCCGCATTTTGGTCGCTGCTACTCGTCTTAACGTTCTTTATTAAATCAAGATAAGTTTCAAATCTGACTTTTTTTGTTTCAAACATTCGGAGAGTTTGCGTGACACGGGTTTGTCATTCACAAACAGATTTGACAGAGACTCTGGTTGTTTACCATTTATAAAAAAGATCTTGAAATTTTAGTTGAGAATTTTTGTTGGACGGAACGTGTTGTTTACGATTTGCCAAAAATTTCCGGATTCTCGCCTAGACTGGATTCCCCATCTGTATATGTCCAATTGTGACGATCCCTCAGTGCTTTCCGAGGAAACACATGGCGCAGGAGAGACTGATCGGCGAGGATTTGCTGTTTCTGCCATGACAGCCAAGTTGAGAACTCAGCTGTGTATTGTTGGTTTTTACGTGGCGTCACTAAAATTCAAACTACAAAACTATCGATCCTACTGAGATTTTACTTTCATGGTGTATTAGAGCAGCCGAAAACTAATTTTCAAACAAATTTTCGCTTCAAAAGGGTTCTTGGTTTTGTAGTAGACACTAGAGTACGCTTGAATTTTTAAGGCCCAGTTCAGACGTCGTGCTTCTGCCGTGCCGAACTAAATTCAGGAATTAAGTTCGACAAAAGCACGACAGAATTAAGTTCGGCAAGCAGTTAAGTTCGACAAGCGCTGCCGTGCTTTTGTAGCAAAACTCGGTAACAGATGTTTCTGTTGGTTTCCGTCCGCCATGTTGGAGCTCATCCAGATGAGCTCCAGCATGGCGTCTCCATACAAGGCGCTATTAAATTTGGGTAAAACATTTCCTCGGATTTCTCGTTTACGGGTTATTCCTTCGACCCAAATCTTGGCAAGAGCCTTTGTTTATTTACCTCCTTTCATTTCCCAGATGCTGGACTTTATCTGTTGAATGGTTTTGATTTTTATTTTGATCTATTTTGGATGGCGTGACATTGAAAACCAGCAATAAAATGAGAGAAAACTCGTTGCATAAATCTGCAATTTTCGCGGGAGAATAAAAAAAATAGCGTAAAACTTGACAGCAATTCGATTTTGGACACAAATTAGCGATTTTAAGTCTGTTCACCATTTAAAGACAAGGATCAGCTATGTGTTTGGAATATTTCGAGAACTGGAGAGGAATAACAGCAGCTTGAACACTGGTACACATTTTTTGCCCCCATTTGCTGTTACCCGCCATATTTGTTGCTGTTGTTGTTGAAGGGATTGCGCTGGGCAAAAAACCAAGAGGCCTGAAACTAGTACGAACTCAAGAAATTTCCATTCGGAACGTCCCAAACGGGACTACTTTTTGAGAATTTTCGTTTGTCCCGGGAATTTTCCAGTGGGGCAAAAAAACGTTTACCATTTTACACCCCAACAGGAATTTCCGGGAATTTGTGGTAAATGGTAAACAACCTCTTTCTCTCTCTTTGACGAAGTCGACAAACAAGCAATAAAACAAGTGAATGAACTGCTGGCTTATCACTAACAGAACGATGGACGATAATAGAAATTCGAGGACAATTAAATTCTGTGCTGACGTATTCCCTGCGCACAGATGTCCTTCGAAAAACTTGTTTTAAAAGTATTGTTTTAATAGCTAAAAAAGACTAGAACGTGCCAGCATGAATTGATCAAATCTTTTAATTTCTACAGCTTTCTTTCCAGCTAATAAAATGAACTGTAGATAAAAAGTGAAAGAGAAATAGCGAAAAATTCCAAATTCTAATTGTTGTGGTTTAGAAAAAAACTTTCTCCAAGCTAAAAATGTTTTGATCAAAGCTGTGTCAATCGAACTGAATTAGTGCATGGAACCTTGCGTTTCCTGTTTTTCTCACCTGTTGTATGGAATATGGGTGAAAATCTTCATTATGAATCGATATATTTCAACGAGCTACTCAACGAGCAAGAATACTTTTGACCAACAACATACAGAGCGGGGGCAGCTGCAGTGTCAATTATCATTAGTGATAAGTAAAATATAATAGCATACTATGAGCACTCTCGGTTTTTTTTTCTTCGTACGTCGAGTGAGAAAGACCACGGGCGTGGCTGAAGGCACTCCACGCTCGCGCCCCCGTGCACTGCCCCCACTAAATGTGAAGAATGCTCGCCGTCTTAGTAAATAGAGATTACTGACCTGATCAATGGTTGGATCATGTTTTGTTTGGCGGCCCTTTAATTTTGCGCTCAGTTGGTACGAGGCCTGCAACCGAGAAATTTTGGAGAGTCTGGGACGGTCAAAAAAAAAAAAATGCCGCCAAAGAGAAATATTCCACGCATCGACGAAGCAAATAGTCTCTATTCATTAATTTTAACCTAATCGGATGTGAGAAAACTTGGGGAAAAGCCACTACAGGTCAAATAGTCAGTTTTCTCGGGGTGGTGGGATCAACACCTCGTTGTATCGCAAGCCGATTGTAGCAAACCTTAAGGTGGCCCGAACCTATCTAGATGCATTTTTCGGCAGGAGATATTTAACCGATTTGTATAATTTTTGAAACCGTGAATAAAAAATGGTCGAACTTTAAGAAATTGTCATTTAATTTCTCGTAGGTATAAAAATGTTTGAGATATCGTCATACATTTAAAACCGAATTTTTACACAAAAAAATGTAAATAACTTTGAAATCCCACGACAAATTTTCCCCTAACTTAAGCAAACAAGCCTCAGAACTCTCTAGTTTAAGGTGGCTCCCTAGAGTAAATTGGCCGTGCGCAGCCTGAGCACTAGTATGGCGCGAGCTTTAAAATCCTCGCGACGTCCACGCAAAAATAAAACAAACATGGCCTCTCAGTTTCGAAATATTCCCCCGAAAAACTTTATGAACTTTCTGTTGAAGCTCATTGTGCAAAAGGTTTGGTTAGCGTAGGTCAAACATTTATGAGAGGAGACAATGTTACACCGGTTACAAGTCATTATCGATCTCCATAAGAGTAAATAGTATGTAAAAATGAAGCAGAAATTTTCCTAAGACACCAATAGACCTTGTCACGGTTTTCGACGCCATCTTGACGAGTAGGCAAGCGCGTGAGAAATTACAGTGTTTGTATGAGAATCTAATGTCGAATAATTTCCGTAGAACGGCTGTTCTAAAAAAAATAAGATTTGACAATTGATATTTTTTTCAGAACAGCCGTCTTACGGAAATTATTCGACATTAGATTCTCATACAAACACTGTAATTTCTCACACGTTTGCCTACTCGTCAAGATGGCGTCGAAAACCGTGACAAGGTCTATTCTTTCGCTTTAAAAGTAAACAAACGTAAAATAGTCGAAGTGAATGGTGAACGGAAACTTTACTAAGAAAACAAGGAGGTAACTACACTAACCCTGAAGGAAGCAATGTTGCTGTTTCTATCCTTTGGTTCACGGTCAGTGGAAAGATCCGAAAGATCGAGCCAAGTCTCGAACAAACACTGAAGATTGTCTTCACTCACTCTAAATTCGAGATTCCTTGGATTTCTTTTTTTAAGAAAAAACAACTTATGAAATAAGATTTCGATCTCTTAAATTCAAACTGCCTGTTTAAATTAAGGAAAAAAGAGTTCTTATCCATATATGATTTGTTTTAAATTTTTCTCGTAAAATAAGAAAACTTTTTCTTAAATTGAGAGATTTGGAGCAATCTCGAATTTAGAGTGACTGGCGGAGCTTCTCGGTCACTTTATTTCTCTTACATTTGATTTGATTTCAAGAAATTCTAGAAATGGCTCTAAGGAAAGATTACAGGCAGCGTAAATTTTTTTTGTTTTGCCGACTCTATCACATTGTTTAAAAATCTTATCAGTAAAAAAGTTGTTCTTCTTGTCGAGGAGCTAACTGTATTCGCTTTAGGTTTCTGATTACTTAGTTTCTAGAAATAAAGCTTTGCGTAAGAATAACCTTTTAGATAGGTGATAATCCGTCGACACTCTTTCACTACCAATGCGTCAACTTCCACAACTGTGTTAGCGCACCATTTCAAGGTTAAATTTGACCAGCATTTTATGCTGCGAGTTGTATGGTAAAGATTGACTTCAAACTTGGAGATATAAAAAAGCAAGATGGCTAGAAACCGTGCCAGTAACGCACGTTATTAATTAAAACACTATTAAAATTCTGGATAGTGCTTCAGAGAACAAGATCGCCGCTGTCTGGGTAATGGATAAACAACTACGAGGAATCTTGATTGGCAGTTGCGCTTTGGGCTTTATGAGCTTAAAACAAAATTTTGGTATTCACCTCACGTTTATTTTTTTACAGTTGTTCTACGCCTTTTACACTGAGGAACACTGTACACGACAAGTGCAAGCTGCGTTACCCTGTGAATGACTGCTACTGAATCGGACCCATTATCTGTAGAGATGTTATGAATGTAATCATAGCGTGCCTCGCTCACAGTGCCGGATCCAGACCTTGAGATGGATGGGGGGGAGGGGGGGGGTGGTCATCCAGTCCCTTAGTAAAGGGTGGGGGGCCCGGTCTCAAAAAAAATTTTTTTGGCCCTTCAGGCCTCAGTTTGGTCTAAAAATAATGGGGGGCGGGCCTCCTGGTCCCCTTTCCTGAATCCACTGGCTCATGCCATAAAAATGGGGTTTTAACTACCTTTCCCTTGCACCAACCGACATTAGGTTAGCCTGATTCGAACGTAACGACCTCGGACGTCTCAGAATCAGGCTAAAATAAGTTTAACTTGAACAATACTAAAGAATAGCGATACTGAAATAAAATAACACGACAGTCTCATCACAGATAGCAAGCTACGTTATCTTGAGAATAAATAGGTTTTACTGATCAAAAAAAAATAATTTTAAGCTTTTCCTTGGAGATGATAGCTTGTTTCACTCATATGAAGGGAGGGTTTTTTAACTACCTTTCTCTTTTCATCGGGCGCATTCTTCATAAAATGAGAAGGTTATTAAAACGCTCTTAACATCTTTTGCACATTAAAAGTTTGGAGTGAAAGATTCACATAAGTTTTT